GTTAATTATATGAAAAATGTCAGTAAAATGACTAGAATATAATAAATAAGTCATTATTAGCTATATCTTTAAATATAGTACTAATATAGCATTTAGTAAATTACTAATTCATACTTTTAAAGCATGAAATGTCTACTAGAATTTCAGTGAAATTAGATGCAACATTAGGATCCATGAAGGCAAAGCATAAAAATTCATAAATAATAACTACTGAGTTTGGGGAAATAATATACACAATTTAGGTAATTTTCCCTATAAGCCAACTCTACCTTAGACTTACGATTTGCAAAATGTTGATTTTTATAGATTTACAGTTAGTGAGACATTTTTACACCTAAAATTTTAGCAGTTGCTCACAAAAACCCTGTGCGGTAATCTCACGACTTTATAAGAAAAGTTTCCTTGGGCCGGGGATTTAGCTCAGTTGTTCTGCAGCCTGCCTCGCAAGCACAAGATCCAGAGTTTGATTCCCAGTACCAAAAATAATAATAATAATAATAATAATAATAATAATATTAAAGTTTGCTTTATAATGCAGTGTTGATAAAATAAAAATGTGAAAAATGCATATTAAATTCAAAACTGAAAGGTAGAAAAGCAAAATCAAGAAAAGAAAGTAACATGCATAAAAAATTAAATAGGTGTTTTTAGTTTAAAAAGCCTATTGTAATATAGGATGACACTGTCATTATGATATTGAAAAAAATACATGAACTAGTTACCCAAATTGCTCCTGACTCATGCAAACTTCTGCCATTTGTCCAATCAACATTAAAATACATTCTTATTTAAGCACTCACAAAGTTGAAAACTTTTAATAGCTCAAAGAATGATTTAACTCCAAAAGACCTATGCAAATTCATCAAATTCATCTTAGAAACAAAACTAAGTGGAAGATTAGAAATTCCGCCTATGGTTTGCAGCTAGCACAACAAAGAGCAGAGAAAATTATTCTGCAGTGCCTGTGAGACAATTCAGGAGAACTACTGAGACAGAATTGTTATTCCCCTCAGGAAATAAATTTGTGGTTACTGAATGCAGGACAAACATTTTTCAGTACCAGGGATTGAACTCAGGACCTTGAGCTAGTGAGGCAGTCAGCAGCACCATAGAGCTAAATCCCCAGCCCTAGAAAAAACATTTTTGAAATGTGTCAGCCTTTCTACAATTTACATTAAAAGGCCAGTAGTGGGAAGTGTTGTTAATAATATCTGACATGAGAGAAAGTTTGACCGAGTATGTTTTGAGGGTATCTTTACTAATATTGCACACTGTGATGATTGATACATTAAGATACACGTTTACCCTTTGAATATAAAATATATTAAGAAGTAAGACAATATTAATAATTATAAAATAATTATTTTCTAATATATATGATATATTGATTTTTTCCATTGAAAATTTAATTTAAATAAAAGAGGGTAACTGCATCACCAACAAAAATAAGATGCAGAATTATAACATAATTCTATAATATCAAGCATCATCCAAAAGTCTTGGTTTTACATTATGTTTTTGGTTCTACAGAAAGAATATTAGGTCTAAGGAATAAAATATATGAGTTAAAGAATTTATCAGTATAACTAGTATCTAACTGATAATCCAATCCTCACCAAAAATTCTATGACAAAATATAAAACCTGGGGCCAAGGATTTAGCTCAGTGGTTCTGCCACCTGCTTTGCAAGTGCAAGGACCTGAGTTCAATCCCCAGTACCAATATATATGTATATGTATATGGATATGTATATGGATATGTATATGTATATGATGTATATGTATATATGTATATATATATATATAAAACCTGAGTTATAAACTTTTGATATGGAAAAGCTATCCATTCATTATATAAATAGTTGTTGAACATTGTTGTATAGCTTGACATTTGACTTCAGATGCAATTAGATAGATCCAGAGTTTGATTCCCAGTACCAAAAATAATAATAATAATAATAATAATAATAATAATATTAAAGTTTGCTTTATAATGCAGTGTTGATAAAATAAAAATGTGAAAAATGCATATTAAATTCAAAACTGAAAGGTAGAAAAGCAAAATCAAGAAAAGAAAGTAACATGCATAAAAAATTAAATAGGTGTTTTTAGTTTAAAAAGCCTATTGTAATATAGGATGACACTGTCATTATGATATTGAAAAAAATACATGAACTAGTTACCCAAATTGCTCCTGACTCATGCAAACTTCTGCCATTTGTCCAATCAACATTAAAATACATTCTTATTTAAGCACTCACAAAGTTGAAAACTTTTAATAGCTCAAAGAATGATTTAACTCCAAAAGACCTATGCAAATTCATCAAATTCATCTTAGAAACAAAACTAAGTGGAAGATTAGAAATTCCGCCTATGGTTTGCAGCTAGCACAACAAAGAGCAGAGAAAATTATTCTGCAGTGCCTGTGAGACAATTCAGGAGAACTACTGAGACAGAATTGTTATTCCCCTCAGGAAATAAATTTGTGGTTACTGAATGCAGGACAAACATTTTTCAGTACCAGGGATTGAACTCAGGACCTTGAGCTAGTGAGGCAGTCAGCAGCACCATAGAGCTAAATCCCCAGCCCTAGAAAAAACATTTTTGAAATGTGTCAGCCTTTCTACAATTTACATTAAAAGGCCAGTAGTGGGAAGTGTTGTTAATAATATCTGACATGAGAGAAAGTTTGACCGAGTATGTTTTGAGGGTATCTTTACTAATATTGCACACTGTGATGATTGATACATTAAGATACACGTTTACCCTTTGAATATAAAATATATTAAGAAGTAAGACAATATTAATAATTATAAAATAATTATTTTCTAATATATATGATATATTGATTTTTTCCATTGAAAATTTAATTTAAATAAAAGAGGGTAACTGCATCACCAACAAAAATAAGATGCAGAATTATAACATAATTCTATAATATCAAGCATCATCCAAAAGTCTTGGTTTTACATTATGTTTTTGGTTCTACAGAAAGAATATTAGGTCTAAGGAATAAAATATATGAGTTAAAGAATTTATCAGTATAACTAGTATCTAACTGATAATCCAATCCTCACCAAAAATTCTATGACAAAATATAAAACCTGGGGCCAAGGATTTAGCTCAGTGGTTCTGCCACCTGCTTTGCAAGTGCAAGGACCTGAGTTCAATCCCCAGTACCAATATATATGTATATGTATATGGATATGTATATGGATATGTATATGTATATGATGTATATGTATATATGTATATATATATATATATAAAACCTGAGTTATAAACTTTTGATATGGAAAAGCTATCCATTCATTATATAAATAGTTGTTGAACATTGTTGTATAGCTTGACATTTGACTTCAGATGCAATTAGACATGAATTTTTTGTTTGTTTGTTTGTTTTTTCTGGTACCGGGAATCGAACTCAAACCATTGCACTTGCAAGGCAGGCAGTGGAACCACTGAGCTAAATCCCCAGCCCTCAGGTGCAACTGGAAACAAAGTGATGGCAAGCCATGGTCTGTGACTTCAAGGGATTTACTCACTAGAGAAATTAATAAATAACACAAAAAAGAGAAATAGTGCTGGGCTGGTAGGAAGAAACCTCATAACAGAAAAGTGGATATGTCACAAGTAGTGTAGATGTGGGAGAGCAAAGCCCTTTAATGATTTTCTAAAACATATATATATATATAT